GGGGGGGGGGGGGGGGGGGGGAATAGCCTTCTTTGCGGTCTCCTAAAAAAAGCCTTTTCTTAAAAAAAAAAAAAAAAAGATGGTAAAACAAGAAGGAGAAGAAGAAGAAGGAGAAGAAGAAGAAGAAGAAAAGGTATCCAGGATCCACTGAGATCTACAGCTGCTCTCTCTCTCTCTTTCCTCCCTTCAGATCAGCCCAGATACAGAGTGATAATAGGACTGGACTGTGCGCAGTTAAGGAGGGTGTTGACCAAAATGGCTGACTAATGAACTGAAATGAAAATTCAGACTCATGTGACCAGCTTGCTCTGAGCGTATGGCAAGCAATTCCCGAGATGCTTTATAGATGCTGCCGATGCAGGAAGAAGAACGGAGCTGATCTTGCTCTCGACATCCCCAGCCTCTGCTCAGCCTGGGCTAGTCCAACCCACCTCAGGGCACAAAGAGATCTATATATAAACATGCTTCCATCAACTTGAACTGAGGCTCAGATGTTTACAGAATGGGGTTTCCAAAACACATTTAGCACACACTTAGTATTTTAGCAAAGAGGTCTATTTCCTGACCGGGGAGTCTGCGTCCCATAAATGCATCCGTTTCATGTGTATTTAACACCAATGCCAGGGGAAAAAAAATTGAAAAGGGATTCTGCTAAATACCCAATGCTTTGCATACAGAGATATTATTTGCCACATAAGTAATGTACAAACTCCAACAACAGCATGTTTTCAAAGAGGATGACAGCATATTTTGTAGCTAACGCCAGTTAAATAGTCTGAAAAATTCAAAGGCACCACAGACACAACCGAACTGGTTGGTCTGCAGCAGAAGTCATAACCTCAGTTTGCGACTAATGTAAACAGATTTATTTACCTCCCAAGAGAATAATAAGGAAAAAGACACTGCAGATTCCGGTTCCTGGAGATACTCATTACCTGTTTATTATGTTTACCCTGGGATAATTTTCATAAGTTCACTTCATAAAAAGTGAAATATAACCCTAGAAGAAATTATCATTGGATGGATATGAAATGACGGAAATACACTCATAAGAGAAAAACAGACTACTATTCTAGATAACAGGACTGCTGTTCCAAAGTCATCTTAGATCTTGCTTGAATCTGCCATTAAGAACTTGCTTGAAGTAGATATAGCCACTGTATGCTTATGAGGTAAAGAACTAAGAAGAATACTGAATATTTGAAACCAGGAATGGGCAATTAATGCCCTGAGACTAGACATAGCTAAATCAAAACCCTTATGGAGGAGATCAGATCTTTCATAAGAGCTTCCTGTCTTTTCCTCTAGGATACTGCTTAAGAGTATCACCTAATGCGAAGAGAGGACTCTTTGGAAAAGACCTTGATGCTGGGAAAGATTGAAGGCAAAAGGAGAAGAGGACAGCAGAGGATGAGATGATTAGATACTGTAGCATCACTGAAGCAATGAGCATGAAACTGAGCAAACTCAGGGAGGCAGTGAAGGACAGGAAGGCCTGGCGCGATATGGTTCATGGGGTCACGAAGAGTCAGACATGATTTAACGACTGAACAACTGCTTAAGAGAGAAGGAAGAAGTTATCAGAAAAAAGGGGCTCTCAGAGGGTGAGTGAATTTACTTTTGGCTGTAGCTCATTTCATTTCCATCTACCATGTGGCCTCCAACAATTATCTGAGGGACTGTAGATGGCAACAGAAAAAAAAAGGTTGCCCACCAAATTTTAAGCCATAGGCAAGGCTTCAGAAGAATGTGACTATTGACCAGATCTGGCAATATTATAATAAAACCCACTAAGAACAAATATTAAGCCCTACGAATAAAGTAGAACTCTACTTACAAGATAAGAGGCCTATAGCTAGGCAATTATGATTGATAAGCCATGCTCGAATAACAAAACATTATATTGTTTCTTTTGCAGAGAAAATGATACCTTTTTTGCCCATTCCGGACTGAAATTCCCACAGCCGATTCTTCGATGAATATACAGAGATTAAGGAGAGTTTCCTTGTGTGACAATCAAAGGTTTAAGAGCTGCTGGCTTTACGTGCTCAGAAACAGATGTGAGAACACACATTTAGACTCTGTTTACTTTGCTTTTTGATTTCTGAGACTTTTCCAAGACCAAATCACAATACTGTCTAAAGCACTTTTGTATAACCAACTACGTGCCACAGAAGTTTTAGAAAGACTGTAAGTCTCACAGAATTGCCTCAATAACCATACTCAAATGCATCTCATCTTCCATAAGTCACACTGCATACACCTATAAAGCAGAGGGGGCATTCTCCATGCCTCGTAAATCAAAATAATGCTCCAGCTTTACCTTGTAGTATGCCTAGTTCCCACTGTTTAAAATTAAAAGACTCTAAAATAGAAATTATAGCCAAGTAGTGCAGAGAGAACGGTGGATATCAGGAGACATATCTGCAAACACATTGGTGCCAATGAGTACCATTTTCATTTCCTTACTATAGGTTTCCTACGATGTCAAGATTTTCCCAGTAATTACATTTTTAGCTATCATGTAAACCAGAAGCGTACATTAAAATCATTACATACCAGATACTAATCTATGCTCTGATTTAGGCTCAGAATAGGTAATCTTTTTTTCTTCTTTATTCTCATTACCCATGATACAATAATACAGATGGGAAAATACATCAGCATTATTTGCTCAAGGCTATCCAAGGATTAGAACTCAGAAACAAGTACTACAACCTACACATTATATTTATTATCTTACTAAGGAAACAGTGCTTGATATTTCGTAACGATATATTTCATTTATCTTCAGTTTGGTTTCTTCAATGCTATCTCTGATCTCTGCTACCTCCCATCTTATTTTGTATTTACTAGTGATGTACAAAACGTTTTGCATTCAAAACTTTTCCACTTCAGAACAATGATTCTGACTTGCCAGAACATGTTGTTCCAATCTTACTGGAAGCAGAGCTAGTAATATTCAGTGTTTTTCAACCTTGACAACTTTAAGATATGTGGATTTCAACTCCCAGAATTCTGGGAGTCGAAGTCTACACATCTTAAAGTTGCCAAAGTTGAGAAATACTGGTTTATTACTGGCTTAAAAATATCTACCAGCCCACTTGGCTGCTCAACTCTGTTTCCTATGATACCTTCCAACCCACTTGAAAGAACTCCCTTAAGCGGAAGATCCTTTCATGTGGCCTTTCTCAGACCATTTTAGGTAACCTTGGTTAGTCTCAGGCTAAGCATCGGATTGCCCAACAATTGAGCTACAGTATAATTTGAACAGGCTGCCCAGTTTTTGTAAGTTACTAAAAACAATTAATTGAAGAGGCATGCAGAGAATAATAGAGATATGGAGAGAGTAACAGAGATATGGAGGAGCAATTACCTAGGCAAAAGGACTGGAACATTTTTAAGTCCAGAGCAATGAGATAATATTTGGCTCAGACAGACACTCCCCTGGTTCACTGGAGTATAAGAAGGGGGAGGAGGTGCAGCACAATCAGACTTACAAGATTGTTATTACAGCCCATTTCAATAAAAGGAGATTTAGCCTTCCTGTGAAGTTGATTTCGTAGTCTGGTCTACCTAGCAGGGCTGATACTCCTTCCACTCCCTGACCTATTTAAACTACAGTTTGGTTTTAACCTAGGCTTGCTATAATGCCTTCCTTCAGCACCATTACAGAGTAGGTAGATATTGCAAACTCCCCTTGCCTCATGGTCTTTGCCCTTGTGGCACACCAGAGGAAGAATCCATAACACGTGTTCTTTCATATTGCAGGATTTATACAACATGGCATCAGAACCTTATTCTTCCCCTTCTAGCAGCAATTCCTGGACCCTCAGATAGTTTCTACACTGATTTTCTGCTTTCTGATAAACTTTTTTTTATACAATCTACAATATTGCAAAGTTTTCTTACCTAGCATCAAGGCTTCAGCAGGGGATCCACAGAAAGATTTAAGATGGACTGCTATATATGCTTATTTGTGTTCATCTATTTTGGCTCTCTCCCCCCCCTTTTTTTTCTGTTTTATTTGCTTTTGTTCGTATCTGTTTTAAAGACTGTAATAAATAGAATTGACTAATCTTACTGGAAGTATTCCAAGATGAAAACACCTGTTTCAAGCTTAAAGCACAAATAGTTTCAACCAGGAGCACTTCCAAAATGCTTAGAACAGCATCAGAACTCTTTTGGTAAGGTTGGAACATATTTTCTGTTCCGATAAGGCAGGAATATTTTGAGTTCAAAACATGTCAAATTTGAAATGTTTTGCACATCCCTACTTTTTGATTCCCACTGAGCTAAATTCCAAACAACCACATATTATTTCCTCTACAAAAATATTTCCAAACTTCTTGGTAATACAACATAAAAAGAACCGATTTATCTATAACATAAAACTTGGTCCTGACAAACACTTATTTTTCTAGCTGTATTAGGCCTGGGCAGTGCTTCAGATCTGATTCAGAAGAGGGGCTTCAGAATACATGGGAGTGCAAATGCAGCTCCTGTTTGTGACTCATTAAAGCAACTGTGTCTTTTTCCAGCATCAGATGGCTGGAAGGAAGCCCCACAGCATTCTAGAAAAAGATGTGGCTGTTTTAATGATTCACAGGCAAATGCTAAGTTCACACTCCCATATGTTGTGATGTCCATCTTTCAAATCCAATCTGAAGATTGCACAGCTTAATTAGATATAATGCAGCGATGTCTTCCTAATATGGAAAAGGATAAAATGATATCACTTTGTAGCGTACATGAACCTAGACAGACTGC